GAATACTGTGCCTGGAAACCTTTGCGTTGGACACTGCTGTCAGAGTGGAATACCATCGATAATTCGTTTCTGCTTGACAGCATTTTCTCAGGAGGCTTTGGACCACAATATCGACCCAAACTTGGTGCTTCTGCCGATGGCCCGTCGTAAAGTTCGACGCGGTCATACGCGCAGTCCTGATGTGGTTCGATTTCGAACTCCGTAAATACCTAAACACGATTAGATGTTTACAGTGGGCAGTTTCCTTTCAAAAATTGTTACTAGCTGCAGACGATGACCAGGAGTTGTAACAAAGTGCCATGTACACTCCTTGTCGTTTGGATAGTCATCCGGAAAAGACGGGCTAGTAAGCTGTCCTGAAGCTGCATTCAATTCAAACTTGCAACCGCCTAAATTTCCAAATCAGTTATGGAATATGTAGCATATCCCAATGGTCAAAATTACCTCCTTCCTTGCAGTGATGGCCATCAGTTGCCAAAACAAAGCCGCTCTCACATTCGCACACGTAAGATCCGATCATGTTTTTACAAATCTGTTCACATCCACCGTTGTTCACTTCGCATTCGTCTCTGTCTGAAATACGAAATGGCGTTAGGGTTGCTGAACAAGAAACGATTGCGGCGTCATTTTATAACCGAAGACTACAACAATAAAGCTTCAAAATCAACGTGTGAAACAGTAGAAGTGTAGGTGAAAAATAAAGAATAGCATACCTGTAAAGTAGATTGCAGCAAATCCACTTTTCTGGACGGAGCTGTCAGTTGTAAACTCGATCCGGAGATGACTTGTTTCAGACGTCAGCAGAAACTGCGGTGCAATTCTGCCGCAGAACTGTCCATGAACCTTAACTGGGGTACCATCCAGCCTCACGCTGGTCACCTTCACGTAATCGTACTCACAGTTTGTCTGGAAACATGGCGTTTATCTTGCGCTGGTAGAAAATAGCACACTTACCAAGACTCCCTCTAGATCGAAGTGGGTAAAATTGAGGAAAATGCGATACTGCGAATGCGCCTTTATTTCCCAAACGCAACGCTTTTTATTCGGATAGAGATTCGGAAAGTTCGGACTCATCAAGCTACCATTTTCGCCCTTCAGGTAACCACCACAGGCATCTGAAAAAGTACTGATAAAT